GTGTGCATGTAGACTTACAGATGTGTGTGTGAATATACAAGTGTGTTGGGGCATACAGGTGTGTGTGGGCATACAGGTGTGCATGTAGACATACAGGCGCAGGTGTAGACGCAAGTACAGGCATGAGTGGAGGTGCAGATGTAGACGCAGACATGTAGGCACAGACAGACAGATCAGTGATGTGGACGCATAGGTAAGACGATACAGGCTAAGCAGACGACACAGATGTGGGTGTACAGACATGGGTACCAGTGCAGGTACCCTGGACACACACAGATAGAGGTACAAGGATCTACTGTGACCTCCTTTCTTCCACCATACGTCAGCACAGCTAGAAGAGAACAGGGTTTCCACTTTGCCAGAACCTTCTAAGAGCCTGCTCTGTCTCGCACTCCCAGGCTGAGCTGCAGAGCCTCTGGCAGGAGTCAGCCTGGGGACCACGCAGAGAGAGAGGGTGAGGCCAGGCTCAGGCCTGTTGGCGCGTCGGGCCGGGCTTCCTTCCCCTCCCCGTCCCACCCCAATGACAGACCTTTGCTGCAGCAGAAGGATCCCATGGGGTGGGGGCCCATTTCAGAGACCATAAGAACCCCTGATACCATCATTCCTTCTGGCACCTTCTGGCAGCCAGATGTGACCGAGCTGACCTGGGAGCTTTCATCCCAAGGGACACTGTCATATCTGCACTTTAATGGCATTTTCTCACTTCCCTGACTACCATGGTTAGAGCCTAGACAATGCNGTGACCGAGCTGACCTGGGAGCTTTCATCCCAAGGGACACTGTCATATCTGCACTTTAATGGCATTTTCTCACTTCCCTGACTACCATGGTTAGAGCCTAGACAATGCGAAATATCCTCCAGTTGTTTCTAGAATTCCAGCTGACGGCAGGCTGCAAAGCCCAGCCTGGCTCTAGAACCCCGCGAACATCAGCCTGTGGCTCCTGGGACACCGCAGAGTGAAGAGCCACCAACAAGGGGCCCCTCCTCCGCCTCCCAGGCCGCCCGGCAGACACAGGTTCCGGACACAGACGTGGGAACCGGATATACGTGTGATGATAGAAAGGGATCTGGGCTCCTCTCCAGGTGTGATGTGGCATCACGGTATGCTGGAAAGAAAGAATCCTGCTACTTTAGAGATACTTCATGACACGCTTCTAAGACACCGTAGCTGGGTTTGTGTCAGAGCAGCAGGGGAGCGGGGAGTGGGTGGGGTGACCGGCCAGGCCCCTGGGCCTAGGTCAACATCCTCCTCATGTACATGTTTCAACTCTGCATGAGGAAGAGGAACGCAAACCTGCTCCCCATTCTAGCCTGTCAGACAGGGACCCGTGACTCTGTCCCGTTACCTGGGGCCCCCATGTCCTTGAGCCCAGGCTGTGGGGATGCCTTCCGGGCCCCAGAAGTGCAGCCAAGGGAGGGCTGCTGGGCTCACAGGGTCCACACCTCGGATTCCTTGTCCACAAACCACTCGAGGTGGGCAGGACCTCTGCACATGCTCCCGGCCGCGAGTTCACTTCCCCAAACTCGGGCTCCACAGCTGGGATGACCCCTGTGCAGGATCAGGGGTCCCTGCAGGACTTGACCTGGCCGGCACCCCCAGCTGGGATGACCTCTATGCAGGATCAGGGGTCCCTATAGGACTCGAGCCAGCCAGCACCCCCAGCACCTGCTTACCTGCTATAAAGGTGGGCTCTTCTCTGTCTTACACACACTGTCCACATGGTCTTCTGCTGTCAAGCTGACTTGAAATAACTTTTAAATCATCCTGGGAAGACCAGGGATGGCTACCCTGCCCTTGACACATCCTGAATCCATCCAGTTTGTGAAAAGTATGAAAATGTAAATGGTGGAGGATCAGACCCCTGCCTGCCTATCAGCAAACGTATGAGTGAGGGCAGGGCAGGCAGAGTGAGGTCAGCTGCGTGGTCCCCGCAAACCTCAGGGAGAACGTCAAGCCGCCGCCACGTTCCTTCTCCTTTTGTGAAAACCAAACTTACAAAGTCCTTTTCTACTTAAAAAAATAAAAAAGAATGGTGTCGGATTCTTGTCAGTTAATAGCTGGTCCATTAAGGCTTAAGCTGAGACCTGGTGAAATCCCACCCCAGAGAACCTCGAACCCCCACTAATCTGACAACAGAGGGGAGACTCCATGTGTCTGTGAGCATCCCACTCGGGGCAGACAGAATTATGGACACAGAACTCTCGTCTGCACCACAGACCTTCCAGCTGGCAGAAGTCAAGATAAAACAATGGTCTTTCTCTTTAGCCTGTGCTCAGAGCAGGTAAGTGCTCAGGCCCAGAGGCGCAGCCAAGGAAAGCCCTCCAGGAAATGGACTTGGGATGCAGAGAAGAGACCCTCTGACAGCGGCTCCCTCTTACAGGAAAGTCAGTGAGAGCAAGAGGTGAGCCCGATGCAAGGGTCTCCCTGTGTCCAGGTGCCGGCTGCTCACGCTGGACGTCCTGTGATGTGGAGGACGCTCGGCCTGGAGGGTCCCACCCTGAAGTCCACCGTCCTCTGTCCTCCACGGTTCACAGAGACTCAGAGTCTTCCCGAGGTTGGAATCCTCTCCAACACTTTCACGACTCACACTCGTGCCCCAGACAGGAGCAACCTCGCACCCATGCTGGGGACTAGTCCTCCAGCATCAGGACATCCCGGGGGAGGAAAGGCGCTCAGAGCAGTGGAGCAGTGGTCCCCCAGGGACCGTGCACACACATGACACGTACACACTACACACACGCACCAGGCACACACACACACATGTACCCAGGTACACAAACACACGTACTCACACACACATAGAAACATGCAAACAAACAGGGACACACACAGCACACCCATGTGCCCATGTACAAATGCTCACACGCACAAATACAGACCTGGAAACACGCATGTGACACACACACACGTAACCACACACAGAGAGAAATATAGACACGGAAACACACATGTGACACAGACACAGCACACACACACATGTATCCACACACATGCACAAATACAGACCTGGAAACACACATGTGACACACACAGCACACATACATGTGTATCCACACTCACACAAATACAGACCCGGAAACACGCATGTGACACACACACAGCACACACACATGTATCCATACACATGCACAAATACAGACCTGGAAACATGCATGTGACACACACACAGCACACACACATATGTATCCACACACACGCACAAATACAGACCTGGAAACATGCATGTGACACACACACATGGGGACACACACACACATGTAACCACACAAACATAAATATAGACATGGAAACATGCATGTGACAGGCACACACGGACACACACACACCACACACACACATGTATCCACACACACACACACACACACACACATACAAACCTGGAAACATGCATATGACACAGACACATGGGGATACACACACAGCACACACACATGTAACCACACACACACACATAGAAATACAGACATGGAAACATGCATGTGACAGGCACACACGGACACACACACAGCACACACACACATGTATCCACACACACACACACACAAATACAAACCTGGAAACATGCATATGACACAGAAGCACGGGGTCACACACAGCACACACACATGTAACCACACACACACACAGAAATATAGACATGGAAACACTCATGTGACAGACACACAGGGACACACACATATGTATCCACACACACACATGGCAGTGGTGTTTGCCATGAAGCGGAAAACCCCCAGCACAGGTCCGACCGGGCAGCAGGAAGGGTCTGACCCAACAGCCAGAGCTGCACTCTCGGCAGGACCACCATCCAGGCCCCGTGTGTCTGGGTCACACGTGATTCTGACACACTCAGCAGGAGCTAACGGTTCTGAGCAGAGAAACTGGAGGCAGAGAGAGCGCGACCTCGGTCTGGAGGTGACGAGGCCGGAATCGGCAGGCGGATCTTCAGAAGAGGCCTGGAGGGACGCCAGCCTGAGGACGCCCCCAAACCCAGGTGAGGCCAGCACCTGCAGCTCCGCTGGGCTCTGACACGGGTCGGGTCTGCTGTGCGTGGTGCAGTGAGAGCAGACACGTATGCAGGTGAGAGCGCAGAGGCCACGCGGAATTAGGAGAGGGCCGCAGCTCCAACACAGCCCCTGCCACAGGGGCCAGCACGGAAGGGTGCTCAACCCCGACCCGATGCACACTATGGTGCAGAATCAAAACTATGAAGTGGGGCTGCGTGCACACTTGCACACACACCCGTATACACACCTACACACACCTGTACACACACCTGCACGCACACCTATACACACATCTACACACACACCTACACACACACCTCTATATACACCTGTATGCCACCTGTATACACACCTACACACACCTGTATACACACCTGCATGCACACCTGCACACACACCTACACGCACACCTGTATACACACCTACACACAACTGTATACACACCTGCATGCACACCTGCACACACCTGCATGCACACCTGCACACACACCTACATGCACATCTGCACACACACCTGTACGCACACCTGTATACACACCTACACGCACATCTGCACACACACCTGCACACACACCTGTATACACACCTACACGCACACCTACACACCTGTATACACATCAGCACATGCACCTGTACACACACCTGCACATGTAACTGCACACACCTGTACACACACCTCAACATGCACCTGCACACACACACGCCTGTGCACGCAGACAGACATGCTTCCCCTTGGACACACTGCCTCTGTTCCTTGAAAAAAACACAGTTACAAAGCACAGCGTCCATGTCAGACTCATCAGCGACCCCGCTGCTCACTGGGCACGCGATGCTGTACCCTGTCCCACGTCAGTCTCCCGTCAGAACTCAGGTGAGGATAGGACATCAGTGCTGTGAGGCACGTCTTTCTCCCAAAGGGCACCGCATACCCTGGGATGTGGTTGGTGTAAAGCTTCTGGAGCTTCCTGGGTGTGGAGTCAGCGTTCGCACAGCCNTCCTTGGAGTAGGTCTGGCTCCGCACGTTCTCCACGCCCGCGCGCTCCTCCTCGGAAGACAGCGAGGCCTCAGGGTCATCCCCCTTCTTGCTCTCTGTCTTGAAGGACTCGGTGTGACGGGGGGCTCCAGGCAGGAACGGAGACCCGGGGCCCTGCAGGAGGTCCCCCAGTTGGACACCCAGATGGTTCACCTGGCAGAGAGGAAGCCAGCTTGAGGACGTGCCCTAAGCCACAGAGAGACCGTCCGTCTTGGATGCTCGGGGATGGGGCACCGGTGTATGTGGGCCTGGGGGCCATGGGGGCAGAATTAGGGTCTGGCCATGTGCACCTCGTCTGGAGACCCCAAGCTCCGCTGGCCTAGTCCCCTGCCTCTGGAATTAGGAACTGTGTCCCCCGACCCCATACCTCCCTCCACAGCTCCGACAGCTGACCCCCCACGTTGTATTTCTGATGGACATTTAGAACAATCATCGGTGTTTCCTTCCTCCTTGCTCTCAGGCCCTGAGCTGGGAACCACAAACACGACCTGCAGAGAAGCGCTAACCCGACGGCCTTCTTTCCCACCCACAGAACAGAACGTCTAGAACCGCAGCACTGCCCTTGCTTATCCACAGCTTTACCACGTCCTTAAGACGCCAACAGGCCAGCAAAGGTTCTGCAGCAGGAGGACAGGCCCCTTGGTGATCGGTGTCCTCCACGTCCAGCCTTTTCCAGACCCTCCTGACCAGCACTGTCGTGGAAACCTGGACACGATGGAAGCCCCCCCACCCCGTCTACCAGGAGCTACACTGCTGGGAACTGAGTTTTTATTTACTTAATTTTAATGGATTCGAGTCCAGGCAGCCCCGTGTGCCTGGTGGCTGCCACCAGGGGGACAGTACAGGTCTGAAGGATCCAGAGGCTGCTGACATCCACTAACGGGGCCTCGGTGACCAGCACCTGCGGGACGGCCTTGCCGACACAAAGTGGGTGTGTGGTGCTGTCACGTGACGTGACCACCCCGTTTCCTTGCCTGGGGAAGTTCTAAGGGATGCTCATCTGTTCCCTGTATTGACCATTTTTCATACTCTTACCATGGATACATATTAGGATCTAATCTGAAAGCAGACAACAGTATATATTGAAATACATAATTTTGTGTGTACTCTTCATGATTTTTCTCAATTTTGAGATGATGAGGGTTTTTCTTTTTCCCAAAAGTTGTTATATTTCACCTCTGTTCCTAANTAAGGGATGCTCATCTGTTCCCTGTATTGACCATTTTTCATACTCTTACCATGGATACATATTAGGATCTAATCTGAAAGCAGACAACAGTATATATTGAAATATATAATTTTGTGTGTACTCTTCATGATTTTTCTCAATTTTGAGATGATGAGGGTTTTTCTTTTTCCCAAAAGTTGTTATATTTCACCTCTGTTCCTAAACCATGGACGAGAAGACAGGTGACACAGCTCATGCTGCACGGGGCCTGAACACACGCTCACCTCCTGGTGCAGTCCCCCGTCACGGCCTCGCACTCTGCTCTCTGTGGGAGACACAAGCACAAAGTCACCCCACGCTGGGGCGGACACCAGAGCCCTTCTGCAGCGTGAGGACCACCGCCTGATGCCCCCGACAGGCCAGGGATGGAGCGCCCTCTGAGAGCTCCACGGCACAGGGGTGGCCCCTGAGGGGCCGGGACACCAGGTCCAGGGAAACCACGTTTCTCCTTCACGTCCGCTCAGCGTGGGGAGAGCCGCCGGGCCGGGGCAGAGAGCAGTCACAGGAGGGAAGCGGAGGGGCTCAGGCGTGTCAGCTCGGGGCGCTTCAGCTGGGCTACTTTTCTGCGGTGGCCGTTTCTCTAAGGACACAGCAGCAGCGAGACCCCCAGCCCAGCACAGGGACGCTGCCCAAGACCCCCTCCTCCAGACGGTGAAGGGCACCGTCTCCTGCACCAGCCGAGCCCGTCCCCCACGAGAAGGGGGCCTGTGCCCTCCCCGGCTCCTCCTGGGGCCCACTGCGTGCAGGGCACCGCCCAGGCATCAGGGCCACTGCCTGACCCTGGGAACAGACCAGACAGGGAGACGAGCCTGCCCGGCTCAGCCCTCCACCCCCAAGGGCCCGGCTGCTGTGTGTGAGTGTGTGTGAGTGAGCGTGAGTGCGGGAGTCTGTGTGTGCATGTGCGTGAGCTGCCTGGTGTGTATGTGTCTGTGTGTGTGCTGGGGTGAGTGAGGGAGTGTCTGTGTGAGTGTGTGGGATTGTGTGAGACTGTGGGTGAGTGTGTGTGTGGGGGTGAGTTTCCGTGTGTGTGTGTGATGTGGGCTGTGGGTGTGAGACTGTATGTGGGGGAGTGTGTGTGTCTGTGTGTGGGGGTGAGTTTCTGTGTGTGTGTGTGAGATGTGGGCTGTGGGTGTGAGACTGTGGGTGAGTGTGTCTGTGTGTGGGGGTGAGTTTCTGTGTGTGTGTGTGAGATGTGGGCTGTGGGTGTGAGACTGTGGGTGAGTGTGTCTGTGTGTGGGGGTGAGTTTCTGTGTGTGTGTGATATGGGTTGTGTGAGCATGTGAGAAGGATGAGTGTGTGTGTGCTGGGGTGTGAGGGTCTCTGCGCTCTCGCTGGAGCCCCCTGGAGGCCGGTGTGAGCCTAGCACAGACCCTCTCTCTTGACCATTGGATTATCTGACTCTCACTCACTCACAAACCCCACACAAAGCGCTTCCATCAGCCCTGCCCCTGCCCCTCCGTCCTCAGAGCACAGCCCACCCCCCATCACGCCTGCCCTGCAAGCTCAGCCCATTAGGAGAGCGTCCAGAGGCAGAGTCAGGCGAACCAAGTCGTCACGGCAGACCCATCTCCCGGCAGCGAGCAGGCAGCACCGCACAGCGAGCCTGCGGCCGCGTGCCCAGCTGCACGCACGTGTGAACTCACCTGGCCCGCGGTCCCCGTGGAGGGCGGCCCCCGCGCCGACAGCCTCCGCTCCGAGTCCGCTGCCCCTCCCGGCCGCGCCCCCGCTCGGCACTGCACTCGCCAGGGCGCGGGCCACCTCGTCCACGTCCAGGGCACTCAGACCCTCCACGCCGGCCGGGCGCTTGCGCAGGTCCTTCAGCAGCATCTGAACATGAGCTTCTAGGCAGACACGCAAAAGCGACAGACACACAAGAGGCAAGCGCAGCATTAGGGCGGGAAGGCGAGGGCGGCCGAGATGCCCACACGGGGCAGGCGGGTGGACAACGCGCACGGACTGGAGCGGGAGCCCCTGAGCGGGAGTTCTGCGGGGGCGGAGCAGGGCGGTGGAAGCCCAGAGCTCCCTGGACAGGCCCGCCCGCAGACTGGTGGGGAACAAGGGCCGGTGAGTCTGTGGGCAGACCGCCGGACGGACTGGGATGGGCAGGACAGAGAGGTCCCTGGAGCCCGGGCACAGCGTCGGGTAGCAGAGATGAGACAGGACCTGAGAGGGAGGGGCAGAGGAAGGGAAACCCCACAGACCCCCAGGACCAGCGTCAACCCCACAGACCCCCAGGACCAGCAATCAGCATCATCCCCACAGACCCCCGGGACCAGCGTCAACCCCACAGACCCCCAGGACCAGCATCAACACCACAGGCCCCCGGGACCAGTGACCAGCGTCATCCCCACAGACCCCCAGAACCAGCGACCAGCGTCATCCCCACAGACCCCCGGGACCAGCGACCGGCGTCATCCCCACAGACCCCCAGGACCAGCGACTGGCATCAACCCCACAGACCCCCAGGACCAGCATCAACCCCAAAGACCCCCAGGACCAGCCTCAACCCCACAGACCCCTAGGACCAGCATCAACCCCACAGACACCCAGGACCAGCGACTAGCATCATCCCCACAGACCCCTGGGACCAACATCAACCCCACAGACCCCCAGGACCAGCATCAACCCCACAGACCCCCAGGACCAGCATCAACCCCACAGACCCCCAGGACCAGCATCAACCCCACAGACCCCCAGGACCAGCATCAACCCCACAGACCCCCAGGACCAGCATCAACCCCACAGACCCCCAGGACCAGCATCAACCCCACAGAGCCCTGGGACCAGCATCAACCCCACAGACCCCCAGGACCAGCGACCAGCATCAACCCCACAGACCCCTGGGACCAATATCAACCCCACAGAGCCCCAGGACTAGTGGCCAGCATTGAATCTGAGGCTCATGGCACTCGCTCAGCCCCAGGAAGAGAAACGAACAGCAGCACACGGCCAGGCTCCCCCACAGAAAACCAGGAGGATGAGACGTGACACCGCCCAGCCCGGGGCCAGGACACGTCCCTGCCCTGGAAGTGACGCGATGCACAACTGCACACACGTAACTGTGACACGTGTGACGTGATGCACAATTACACACTGGGCCTTTTACACATGAGGGACGCATCTGAAGCACTGAAAGGAAAGGTGTCTAAATTCAGAAGTCAAGATTACCCAGGGAAAATATTAACGCAAGAGTGGAAGAAAGACATTTGCTTTCACATTATTGAAAAAGAGACTTGGGCCCCACCCGCCCTGGGCTGGGCCGCCCTCTGCCCCAGAGCTCTGGCCTCACTCTCACCTGCCAGACCCGCGCCCCCGACTCTGCCTGCCTCACCCACTTCCTGCGAAACCACCGCAGGGCCCCGCCCCGGGTCCCTGCCTCCACCCCACCAGCACCTGCCTCTAGGGAAGCGATCTTTCCGTCAGAACCCTCTCCTGACCTGCTGGTCTCACCACGCCTTAACAGTAATAAAACCTGCGCTTCGAGACAGCTGCCCCTGGAGGGCAGTGAGCTGGACGCCTTCCGGGTGCTGCTGCCCAAGGGGCCAGGCCCCAGACCCCGGGGAGGCACTGCCCCCCCCCACAGCTCCACAGACACCCCCGAATGTTCAGGGACCAAACGCTTGCTCAGAAATAACTTTCAGCGGTGAACTCGGGAAAACAGTTCTCACTTCCTCACAAACACAAACACTGCAAAAATACAGAAAAGCGTGCCTGACACACCAGCGCAGCAGGTTCAGGTTTGCACTACCCCGCCCACAGCACACAACAGTGTCAGGATTCCTGCTCTTCTGGACTGACGAAGGGCCTGTGTGGTTGTATAGAAAAGAGAAAAACTAAGGCAGAGTGAAAAGCAAGAACAACACTCAGCGGTTTCTTAAGCCTCCTACCTTACAAACACATCAACCTTCACTGGTCACAGCCAGGGTGAAGAGGGGAGGAGACACACGGCCTGGGGTCAGTGCCGTCCCCACGGGGGGCCAGAGTGCGCCAGACCCACCACGGCATCCTGGACACTGACCCCGGCAGGAAATGGATCAGTCCACGTACAAGAGATCTTGACAAGTACTGGATCCAACATGTGTTTCTGCTGAGCACAAACTTAACCAGGAAAGGCAGCCCAGGATGATGCTCTATCTCTGAGCCCCGGGGCTCACCGGGGATCTGCTCTGGGTCTCCACAGGGCCACCCGAGGCACAGGGATGCGTCCATCCTAGTGAGGGTACAAAAGGCGGACCCCCGCCCCAACTGTGCCCCGCGAAGACGTCTCACAACCAAGTTATGCCCCCGAGCCATGCTGATGGCCGGTTTCAAGGCGTCTAGAACAATTCCTTCTCAGCTTTCTCTCAGCCTCCCCACCCTCAGCGGTCCCCAGCCTTCTTGGCACCAGGGGCCAGTTTCATGCAGAGAGTTTTTCCACGGATGGGGCAGGGGCATGGCTCAGGCAGTGATGTGAGTGACGGGGAGGGATGGGGAGCCGCAGATGGAGCTGGGCCCACTGCCCGCCGCTCCCCTCATGATGGACTGTGGACCAGCCCCCATCCATGGCCCGGAGACTGGGGACACCCGCCCCACCTCCAGACCTGGGGCACGGCCGGGCCGGGTGACCGTGCTAGAACCGTAAGGAGAACGGAGCACACGAGGTCAGGGCAACAGCTCAGACCCTGGGCTGCAGCAAACTGGCCACGGAGGAAACCGTAGCGGAGGCATCGCAGTCTCGCAGGCATGTCTGGCGGGCGGGTGACAACGCCCACGTCCCGTCTCCCTGGTGCCCACCTCCGTGGAGGTGGCCGGGGTCTGCCAGCTTCCCGTGCAGCAGACCCTCCATCCCTTCTGCCTGCACGTGCCCCTCCACCGGGCTCTCAGGGTGCCAGAGGCCAGGTCACAGGGGAGGCTGGCGACCACGAGACCCAGGCCTCACAGGGGTCTCAACCTGAACCGTGGTGCTCAGGAGCAGGGCCCCATCCACCCTCCCCCCTTCTCCTTCCCTCCACAAATGCCTGTGTGCATTTTCTGTGCCCAGCGGTCTGTCAGGAAGCAGCAGCAGACTGTCAGCAAAGCTCCTGCTTCCATGGAGCGTCGTCCATCGCAGGAGAGAGAAAGCAAACATCAGCACGCACATCCCGTGGTGCTGCGCCACGCAGCGCTCAGTCGCTCAGGCGTGTCCGACTCCCTGAGACCCCACAAACTGCAGCTCACCAGGCTCCTCTGTCCATGGGATTCTCCAGGCAAGAATACTAGAGTGGGTTGCCATGACCTCCTCCAGGGGACCTTCCCAACCCAGGGATCAAATACCCAGGTCTCCGGCATTGCAGGCGGATTCTTCACCATCTGAGCCACCAGGGAAGCCCAAGAATACTGGAAAGTGGGCAGCCTGTCCCTTCTCCAGGGGATCTTCCCAACTCAGGAATTGAACCAGGGTCTCCGGCATTGCAGGGGGATTCTTTACCAGCTGAGATGCCAGGGAGGCCCAGGTGGTGATGGGGCTGTGGAAATGATAAGCCAGAGCTGGCAGCCGGGGCGATAGGAAGGGCAGATGCTCTGTTGACAGGACTGTCAGAGAAAAGCTCACAGCGACCCGGGGAGGGGGTCCCGAGCCCAGGGACCACCCGGGGGACATGTTCTGCGGGCAGGGGAGATGAGCACAAAGCCCTGGGCAGAGGGGCTGGAAGGACGGGGGACGGCCAGAGGGTGCCCTGGAGCAGCGGAGGGGCAGCACAGCGGGCTCACAGGCTCTCAGACCGCGACAAGCCCCCGGGATTCTGCTGAGCGGGACGAGAAGCCCCTGCTGGGTTTGAGCAGTGAGCCATCAACTGACTTACAACGTCACGAGGCCCGCAGGCTTGAGGCAGGGCAGAGCAGCGCGGCCGCACGGGGCTCCCACAGGAACCCGCAGGATGGCGTGGGGCAGGCGGAGCTGCTGGGGGTCTGCGCATGCTTCTACGGCAGGGCTGGGTGCGCCGGACGTGGGCACAGGGGTCGGCGCCAAGCCCAGCAGGCAGTGACCGACAGTGAGGCTGGGGCTTATGAGGTCAGCTCCCAGCGTCCGGGAACCTGGGGCCCTCGACAGCCCCTCAAAGCGTCCCACTGGGTGGTGTTATGTTTTACGCAGTCCACGCAGGGCAAGTGAGACCAGAAGCCCTAGAACACCCACCACAGACGAGGGCCGCGATCGCGTGAGGAGACAGTGCTCCGCAGAGAGCCCCTCCAGTCTCGGGGCCTGCCTGCGCAGACGAGGCAGGGGTTCCCGCTGGAAGGGGCTACTGAGAAAACAAAATCAAACGTGCAGACTGTCGACCATATCCAACAAGAAGAGCGAAGGGGGAAGCGGTGCCCTCCTCCAACGACCCGTCCTGATGGCTAACAGCTCGGAAAACCCTTCCTAAGGTCACCACATGTCTTCCCTTTGACGTCCCTCAGCTCTCATCTCCGTATCTGGAGGGAAACGCAGCATGAAAAAGCTCGTGTTCTCTAAGTTAAAGACTAGCGAATGGGAGGGACTTTCCATGGGCCTCTGTGACTACAGTAAGAAACACCCACCTTCAAAGTGGAATAATAAAATAAATCCCTAACACTGTCTCTTCTCACGCAAAAGGGAGACTTTTCAGATTACCATGAGTGAAAAACAGCCATGAAACCCTTAGGTATACAATGTGAGATGCTGAGCGGCTGACCGTTA